CTTGTTGTGTGTGTGTGTGTGTGTGTGTGTGTGTGTGTGTGTGTGTGTGTGTGTGTGTGTGTGTAAATATATTTATGTTTAATTTTTAGACTTGCTAATCACTTACACTCTTCATTTGATTTATCTCCGGCCTGAGAAGGCCGTATGAAAAGCGTCATTATCATATATTGAGCATATTGTAACCTAGCGACCGCATCAAAACATGCGCGCATGTTCCTCCACGCGTGGATGTTGCACTTTTCGCTGCGAGATATCCCTCCGTACTCTCTATTCTTTTCACATAGACTTTTCAATCTAGATATAATTAAAATTTTCTTGGCTAAAATCACCTCTTCTTTTATTTTTTTTTCTTTTTTGAATAAGTTTTCTTTCTTCCACAAACATATATAAATGTATAAGTGTATAATAAAATTATAAAAAAATATATTATAAAATATATATGAAAATAGAAATAGTAAGAAAAAACATTTTAATAAGTGAATGAACGAATGCGCACACTCACTCACTGTATATGCTACATAATGTGTGTGATTCCTTATTTTTGTATCATCATTTTCTGCAATTGTATGTTATATTAAAACGTATTTACCATAATTAAATTATCGAAATAAATTTGTCAGATCTATTAAAAAATGTGTATATATTAGAAATTAGAAGTTGTTCACTACAATACTATGTATGTGCTCGTTGCATGTAATATAAACAGAACCACATTTACAAGCCGTTTATCGATGGCGTGTGGAATATGTGCCAAATCGATAGTCCGGCCAAGTCACTCTACCATCTTTCCTGTAAATGACGACACACGTTCTGTGCAGGTATACACATGCACATACACATGCATACACATATATGTATCGTCACACTTTCCCGCTTTTAGTGACGTCGCGGCTCACGCGATTGGTATTTCGCATGTTTCGATTTGAACAACATCTGTACAATTTATACATCAAGAATTTGAAGAAAATTATTATTTTTACTTTTTGATAGTTAATAATACAGTTAATATTCTAAAAATCACAATCTGGAATTTTTTCCAAATTATTCTACATTTCAAAATATATGGCTGCATATTTAATTAAATTAAGTATCGAATTAAACATTTTTAAAAATGTGTATTATGTGCAGAGTATAAATTAAAGTATTATGTGAAGATGTATAAAAAATCTACACACACACACACACACACACACACACACACACACACACACACACACACAACTTCAGATTATTTTTTTATTAATTGATAAGATTTTAACAACTTTAACTTAATCAAAATTACTAATTATCATTTCATTTTGCGCATATAAATTGTCAAAATAATTAATACTGAAACTGAGATAATAAAAAAATAATAAAAATTATAATAAAATTTTATTATAGTTTTGTATTATTTAAAACTAATTATTTAAAACTTCGTAAACAAATATTTTCTACATTGCCTCGAAAAAATTAAATTTTATATAAACAGCTTTATAATCTACATTATTCTTTAATTAAGATAAAAATTAATTTATTTTTTTACTATTCGTGATTTTATATCGCATATTTTCCATGTAAAAAAAAGGGAATTTAGATTTTGAAGTCACTGCTACGTAGATATAAGAACAGATATACCGGACGAATAGATAGCGTGTGCTCGTGCATATTGTGTCCTCGTGGATCGCTAAATAATTTATGAACGGACGTACGTAATCTATATTACCGTAATTCACTTACAGCATTTACCTTTACAGCTTCACTACGTATATCATATAAAGAAACGATGCTCATCCTAGCGAAAGAAGACAGTGTGCCAATGAGCACATATTTAACGTTTTCATCGCCGATCAGAATGTTGTATCACGTTTTACATTTATCACTAAATGTTGTCACTGCTTGATTTTTATCAGTTTAATAAGAAATCAACATGAAAGTACAACTGGAAATACCGTTTCATATTAAAATTACGCGACTATTATCATTTTAGACTAATTATGTATAGCTACTGTTTCTATAATTACTTCTTTTGTATTAATTTTATTTATCTTTAATTTAATTTTGTAAATTTTTAATTACTTATTTTTATATCAAGTTCGCCAATTATTAATTATATAACCAATAACATTATTTTAAAAAAAATATATATATATATAATGTATTATAATATTATAATTTTTATAGTATCATGTAAATATATATGTTACAAATATAGTAAATATTTTATTATATATTATCATATTGTAAAATAATATTACATTAACTTATTAGCATTACCACAATTTTCAATATTTTTTGTTTCAAAATTTAATTACTTAAGTACTTGTGGTATCACTATAATCATTTAACAAATCGTTTACCATAACTTTATAGCCACAATTCATTATAATCGACATATAATTCATTATAGTCGACATATAGTTCTATCTGAGTTGTGTAGCCGATAATGTTCCACATTCTCGTACATGGAATTTTATATTCACAGAACTGTTTTTCCGCGAAACTTGCCGCATTTGTGAGTCATTCTAGTTTCGATTGACCGATTATCGAACATATTTTTTTGCTGTTATGCTCAAGAGGTTTATGATTTCATTTTTATAGCATAATATCATACAAAATTATTACATGCTTGATCAAGTCGCTTATATCATTATTAATTTTTGTTATTCTTTTATATTATTCCTACATATGTACGTACATACGCACATAAATACTTATATGGATAAAAGATTTCATTTAAAATTTTATTTTATTGTTGATATTTTATGTAATTAATTAAATGTTTATATTAATGCTCATTTAATTTATTAAATGTATATTTAATCAATAATAGAAAAGTTTAAAGCATGTTTTATCCAAAACTATTCCTTAAACATAATATACTGTAATTATTAAAAAACGTTTTTTTATAAAAATATTCTAGAAAATCCAAATTTTTGAAAAACTAAAATATACATATAGTAAAATATATTTAGTAAAATTGGTTTTATTTTAATAAACATTTTTACTATTATTATAAATAATATCGATAAATTAGACCAAAATAAATTATAATATTAAAACTTTAAAAGGTTTAAAGTTTAATATAAAAATAGAAAATTTCAATTGTGCCATTCTTCGTGGAATATGTGTCATTAACAATTAATATATTATTTAACTAAACAAAATACAAAAGATTACTTATTATTAAAAAATTTATATTAAATAAAATTCTACAAAACAATTCTATCAGCAGATCTTCATTCTTTTATTTCCGCAAAATAATCAATATTAATATTAGCAAACTAGAAAACAACGATTATGTCATTCTTTGTTGATTCTTATCGTATGTGCATTTCATACATGTTTGTCGCAGAACGTCGTGACAATCGATCCGCTGACAAAATCTTGCACGTTGGAAAATGCCGACGGTGGAAGTGGAAAAGTTTACCAATTTGATGCTACGTTTGGCCCCTCTGCTACGACAGAATCAGTTTACGAAAATGTGGGTTCCGTCATCGTGGAGGCCGTGTTGGAGGGTTACAATGGCACTGTATTTGCTTATGGCCAAACTGGCTGCGGAAAGTCATTTACGATGCGAGGATTCATTGAACGCGCGTTAGAACATCTATTTGAAGCAACTTCTACGGCTAGTTCTGAAACAAGGTATTCTTCAAATTCTCAAATTAGTTTTACAAAAACGCATAATTACGTAGAATGTTCTATTTTTATAAAAAGAGACCGTATATAAAATGTGGATGGATTTACCATGATGTATAAAAATTATCTATTTCAAAAAAGCGATATTTTTATTTAAAAATGCTTTACATTTAATCACTTGTATATTTGTTCTTAAAATACAATTACGTTTTTTCATGACCAATTCATATATATATATATTTGATAAGATATATGTTTAATGCTAAAACAAACTTTAAAATATATCATAGATTGTCAATTTTTTATAACTTTATCTTAATAATTTTATACGCAAAACAACCATTTTGAAATCAAATTATAAAAAATTATAATTTAATTTAAAAGAAAGTTTGAAAAAAGATTACTCGCTAAAATAAATTGTTTATTTCTGTTTATTCTTGTTCTAATTGATTATCTGAAATGTCTGTTTCAAAATAACAAAATTTCCAAAGAATTTTTAGAAACATAAAATATTAGGAAAAATAAATCGATATAAAAAAATCAAGTTAATATAAAATACCGGCATGAAATTAAATTCAATATAGTAATATTTTTATAGCGCATTATTCCATATGAAAATACTTAAGATGTCTTGATCAAGTGAAATATTTTGATTAAAATTTAGAAAATTTCTTATTATATTTGCTATGTCCAGATATTTAGCGTTGCTGAGCTATCTCGAGATCTATAACGAACGGTTACGAGATTTGTTACAAGACGACACTGGGGAGACTTTGACATTAAAGGAAGATCCCACAAAGGGTACTTATGTTGCTGGTGGTCTACGTGAGATCACTGTCAAAGATGCGACCGAATGTGCCGCATTAGTCCGGCAGGGTGATCAAAGAAGAGCCGCAGCCGCAACGAAGATGAACGCTGCTAGTTCGAGAAGTCATGCCGTTTTAACTTTGTCACTCGAAGCAATTGCCATCAATGACGATGATAAACGAGGCAACGCTATCAGAAGAGGTCGATTGCACTTGGTCGATCTTGCTGGATCCGAAAGACAGACTAGAACTGGAGCCACAGGGGATCGTTTGAAAGAAGCCGCCAGTATCAATTTAAGCTTATCGGCATTGGGGAATGTCATTAGTGCGCTAGCTGCCGGAAACGGAAGACACGTTCCTTACAGGTACAAATAATATTATCCTTTTACTTCTTACACTGGACTTCTTTTTATTTATTTTTCTTGTTTAATTTATGAGATAATTTTTTTTATATTACTTACATATAATCGAAAATTACATTCACATACAATATAATATGTAATTTTCAAAGAAGAGTTAAATATAAATTAAACATTGTTTTGAAATAAGTATAATCTGTTTCTTTTAGAGATTTTACAGATTATTGAAAAGAGCAAGATAAAAAAATAATTACACATTACAAACTAAAAATACCACACACAGATAAAAAAATGAAAAAAAATTTTTTTTCAGAGATAGCAAGCTAACAAGATTACTGCGAGACAGCTTGGGCGGAAATGCCAGAACTTTGATGATTGCCTGCGTCAGCCCAAGTGACATCGATGCTGAAGAGACTCTCAGCACTCTGCGGTACGCCGCCCGAGCTCGTTGCATCAAGAACAAGCCCATCGTCAATGAGGACCCTAAAGATGCTCTTCTTAGGCAATACCAATTAGAACTTCAACGTTTGAGGAAATTGCTAAATTCTGGCGACCCAGCAAATGTTGGATTGGACTTCCAGAAGGATATGGAAGAAGAAAGAAAGGATTTGAGAGAGAAGCAATATTCTGAAGAGGTAGTATAATTTTTCTATTGTTTTCTGTTATTTAATTTATATTATTATTATCTATACTATATATAATTTTACTAATATATGTAAGCTCTCTATTAATTAATTTATAAATATTTTGCATCTTTTATAATATGATATATTTACAATAACGATAATAATTATTATTAATTTAAAATTTTTTGGAATATAATTTTATATAATTACAATGAGAAAGTTTTATAATATCTCTTATATATACATTCTTTAAATCTCTTTCCCATTATAAACATTCCCTATTATGTTATTAAAACTGGAATTATATATTAAAATTTGAAAATGCAATTGATATTTTCCAATAATATTTCATAAAAATTATATAAAATATCAAATCATAATAAAGAAATGTAAATATGATTAAAGGTGGAGAGGTTGAGAAAAGAATGTGAGAGTTCAAATTTGTCAGCTCAAAAAACTAAAGAAGAATTAGAAGCTTTGAAATTCCGTTATGAATCAGGATTAAATATGACGAACAATGTTAATAATACTGAAAACCTCAATCAAGAAAATCAAGAGATGGATGAATTGGATAAAGAACGAATGGAGAGAAGAAGAAAAAAAGAGAAGCAGCTCTACAAGATGTTTTAAAGAAATTAGAAAAACTGACGATTGGTGGAGAGCAAATTGATAACGCAGAACTAAAAAAAGAAGAGAGAAGAGAAGAAAGAAATTGGAAGCTCTTGTAGGGGCGCTGGAAGCTAATGATGCCAATGGTAGTGTCTTCCAGGTATATGGCCAACTGAGGTTTGTCAACATTCAATATTGTAATGTTTATCTAATAATTTTTTTATTTCAACAAAAAAATAATGTTTAATGAATAATTATTTTAAAAAAGTAAAAATTGAAAAAAAATAATATGAAACAAAATTATGTGTATTATTTGAAAAATTGTAATATGATAAATTGCATATAATATATTGAAGAGATTAAAATTATATTTATTAATTTAAACAGGCGATAATCACTTTCTTCTTCTTTATTTATGATTAAATTGTTACTTTTTATTAAACTCTATGGCACAAAATTTGATTAAACAAAAGGGATTGCTAGAAATTGAAAAATAAGACATCTAATGTCGATAACACATAGTTTACTATATTTAAAATGACAGATCGACAGAGGATGCACTGAAAAGAATGGCGAAGCGAGTGAAGCAATTAGAAGCTGAGGCAGCGGATCTTCAGGCGTCCTGGGATGCCGAGCGTCGTGAGCTTCTTCGAAGAGAATTGTTAACGTCACAATTATGCGATCTCATGGTACCCTATCTTCGTCCGGGCTGTCCCTTTCGAGATATCGCGGCGGTGAGATCGGCGGCAACCTGGTGCGATGAATTAGGACGATGGCGTTTGCCGGATGTATCCCCTCACATACCTCTACCTCCAGCTGCTGCTACAACACGAACGGATATTCTTCACTTCACCGGGGGTTCCTCGAGGGCGGATCATAATAACAATAATAATAGTAGCAACGATGACAGTGAAAGTGGCCAGGATAATGATAATGAAGAAGATGACAGACGAGGTGTTACGAGAAAGAAAAGTGTTACGACGAAAAAGGGTTGGGATGCTGTGGAATCTTATTTTCGGAGAAGCAGGGTGGATACTCTTCTGGCACATGCACGAGAAGCAAAGACTTTCGGTAAGAAGATTACGTTATGTATGCACATATGTGTGCACTATATATGTAATGTATGCTTACATATTTTAAAGAAAAATACATCGAATACAATTCTTTTGATAAAATTTAAGAAAAATTTTTATTAATAATGTCACGGTTAATTTAAAAAGCGCAGATTGTTAGGATATTTACTCACAGGATGTTTCACGCGCACGCACACATGCACATGCGTGTATGCGTAAGCAAGCATGTTCTTGAAGCATCTTATACAAAGTAGAATTATTTTGAATTAAGTAATATTGTAAAACGTACTCAAATCACTATGAGATGAATAATTGTTAGATTTTGCTACTTGCAAAAAATTGCTACTGTTGTTAAGATTCATTCGTTAGGAACTTTGATTACAATTAAATGATAAAAATGTTACAGAGCCGGGAAATCGGTTGAGTAAATCGGGAGGCTCGGAAGATTCAATGCCAATTGCAGGTGGCAGTGGTTATCTGCAGCTAAACGCGCTGAATCTGCAGAGCAGCGCGCCGGTGTTCGGCGAGAATAACTACAGCCCGAATCAGCGTATGTCGGCGATACGCGATGGTTGGGTCCACGATGAACGACCTGATCGACCTATATATAACACCTTTATCAATACAACGAAAAAACCTCCTCCAAGAATATTGGAAGCCTTACCATCGTACCCGCACGCCGGTAGCCCCTTCAAATCGTCCGTTCGTGTTGGTGAAATGGAATTGAAGAAGTAAGTAGATCTTATTATATTCCAATAAATTTTCATATTTCTTTTTTTATATTTAAATAATTATATATTTTTTAAATCATGAGAATTTAAGTTGCAGAATTTAAATTTAATTTAGCTTAAATTTAATAATAAATTTATAAATAAAACTCCAATGCTTACCGTAAGTTCAATTTATTGTAATTGTTTTAGTTTTTATTAACATAAAATATTTGTTTTCTATTTTCAATTTTTTATTTCACTATTAATTTAACTAATCTTTATATAATTTAATTATATTTTATTATTGAGTTGGTAGTACAATTTAAATCTTATTAATTTTTGCTAAATCGTTTTTACATTTTTTTAATATTAGAATATCTGAGCGAGAACCACCATCGAGATTGCTACGTAATAACGATACCTTTACCTGTCATCATCCGTTCCACGTTGAAAACACCTGTTCGCCAACTTATTGATAAGCCTGCGAACTATTTAACAAACATTTTGTGTTAAAGAAGAATTAAAAGAAGTTATGTACAAGGTATGTTTATTTAAAAAAAGATATAATTAAAGAAATTAAGGAAATGTGATATTTTTTATATAAAAATTAAAATATTTGTTTATTTCATAATCAGTCGTTAGATTAATTGTTAATTTTTAATTTTTAATTTAATTATAAAATCGTTAAATATCAGAAAAGTGTAATTATAAAGATTAGTTATCGTTTTTAAATAAAATTGTAATTAAAATTTACAATAAAGCTTATAAATTAAATTTAAATATAATTATATAATTATATTATTTAAATATAAATATATTTTATTTTTTTAATTTATTTTATATAAATGTAAAAATAATAAATTATATAAATTATAATAAATTTTATATAAATGTAAAATAATTTGGAAAAAATAAATGCATTAAGAAATGAATTAAAATGATAACAAATAAATTCAGAGTCATAATATTATTTAGATATTTAAATAATAGCTTAATATATTTTTAATTTATTGAAATAAGCTATTTTATGATTATATATCTTAATTATTGTTCCGAAGAGAAAAAGAAAGGAAAAAGTAATTATATTTATCTTTTATTATTAGTATGCGAATTTATTGAACCTTATAGTATAGAAAAAATGAATTTATTTATATTTATATGGAGAAGAGGAAAAGAGAAAAGAGGAAAAAGAGAGGCATAAAGGGAAAAAGTTAACAATTGATTTATTTACATTGAATTTCAAATATTATGTGTTGATCATAGACCTTAAAGAAAGTAAATATACAAGACATTTCTTCTGTGTGTGAATATTATTTCAAAATTTTTTAGAGATAAAACCATATTAAATATTTAGCATTTGAAATTAAAAATAAAATACACATAGACATTCGTCATTTTTTAATTCTAATGAGTCTCTGTTCTAATTTATTGCTTTTTTTTGAAATTAATAATTGTATATCATTAAATCAAAGATTAATATAGTTAAATTTGAACGTATTGTTATTATTTTTAAAATTTTATACAATACTTACATCATCACAATTATTTAAATTTTATATTTTTTATTTTGTATAAGATAATAAATAAATGTAATAAAAAATTAGTAAACCTTATCTAACACCACAAGAAAAAATTAGCGATTAATTTTGTCTAATGTTGAAATATTTGAATATTGAGTATTTTGAGAGAGAGAAAAAAAGAATAAAAATGAGAAAGCAAAAAAAATTCAAATCTCCAGTAATATTATAATTTAATGTAACCATATTTTTTATATTTTTATATACAATCATTATACTTTACAGACATCTTTATATAACATGTTTATATAACATGTTTTTCAGTAAAATAAGTACTTTATCATTTTTGTATCTGCAATATAAATCGAATTAGTCAGATTTTATTTCTATAACTGTCTGTCATAAATCTGACAAAATAAATTTCTAGCAGAAAAAAAGCATGAGCTCAACCTCAACATTATTTAATTATTTATTAGCCTGTTATTTGCTGCTTTTTTTATATTTATAAACATAATTATTCACAATAATAATTCAATATCAATATATTATTGATTAATCTGACTACGAATTGTTTAAAAAGAGACCCATCCTTACAATTTATTTATCTATTGGCAAAATATTTTATCTTTTAAATATGAAAACAAACTGATTTTTTATAATAAAAAATTAAATTATAAAATTATATTTGCATATTTACATACATATTTATTAGTTAAATTATAAAATTATATTTGCATATTTACATACATATTTATTAGTTAATTTAAATGTTAATCAAATCTACATCTCGATTTCGTTAGATTCCTTAATTTATTGGTGCGTATGCATGATTTAAATTAATTTCGCAGGAAACCGATTATATATTCAATTTTACTGCTTTACGACATATGAATAAAGATCCTAATAAATAAAGTTTTAGGTATTTTGTAATGAATATTAGAAAACAATCTGTAAAATGTTTCAAATCTTTTTACGGATTATGTAATGACTAAAATAAACTTAATTCATTACAAAGCATAATTTAATATTAAAATAATATTAAAACTTTAACAGAATCAAATTTGTATTTATTTTATAAAATTTGAGATGGAAAATTAGTTATTTATTAAAATTTTATTTTATTAATAATATATTACTAACTTTTTTGTTCTTGTTTCTTAAAAATAAAAATTTATTTATTTTGCTGATTTTTAAACTAGATATGCATTTTAATGATTATGTTTATTATTTTAATAACCTTAGTATAATTATGCATGATTATATAACATAATAATATTGCACGTAGACGTCTGTATTGTTTTCTATTCATTAAGTAAAAAGGTCTCTAATCATCCAATTATCGAATTATTTCTTGATCCTTAAATCATTCTGCCATGCTATTTATGTATTGACAATTGTGGTTTCTCTGAACTGCAGGTTTAAGAGACAGAGGTCAAGCTGAGAGGAATGTCAAGGCAACGCAACATTGACGACAATTGGCGGAATCACTTAACATCAAAAACACTAACGGGTGGCGAATAAAATTAAATCAACAAAACACCATTCCTTTGATTCTTTACGAGAATTAAAATTTGTATGAAAAAAGCAAATATTTGTAAAAAATATCTGAATAATTCATTATTGAAGTTTGAACATTATGTGATTTAAATTATATAAATAGGATCACTTACAGAGAGAGAATTTCTGTTCAAGGTTATTCCTATATATTACTTACAATGTATGTCATCTAAAATTTGAATTCTAACAAATCTAAAAGTGAAAGTGAGACAAAATAATTTCAAGATTAAATGAGATACAAGAAAGAAAGAATACAAAAAGGAGCCATTACTAATAAACATGGTATATTAATATTATTTACTTATTAAAATTATATATGATATTATTAAAATTATATATGATAAATATATGATAAATATCTTATTTTATTAATTTATATTACTTTTCGTTAAAAATCATTTTTAATCATATTTAACAAAGAAATTTTGATATAAAGTGAAATAAAAATTAAACTTTTAAATATGATAACTACATTAATATATAATAATATATTTCTGTTATTATAAAGTAAAATAATATAAGTTCTTATTAGTATAAAAATAAAATTCTTATTGATATTAATCTATTTTTCCATATGTGCCGTATATTTTTTTTTTTTAATTAGAAATCGTCGAAATTATTGTTAATTAGTCATAAAATAAAAATTATAGAAATAAACTAAATTACAGGAAAGAAAATCAAAATGATTGATAGTTCTGCGAATTGTTTCGAACTAGATGTCATTATGTATTAAAAATTTATTATTTTTCAATGTTATGTAATACTAAATTGTTGCGCTGATTTAATTGATTTGATTTTACTTACGTTCAACAAAAAAAGAAATGTTATTTGTAAGTATATAAAAATGTACATATCTAAATAATAATGTAAATAACAATGTATATCTACATTGTAAGAGACTGTGATCTCTAATCTGTAGTATGTAATGATACAAA